CCCCCCAGGGATGTGTGCTCTCCCCACTGCTCTTCTCCCTGTATACAAACAAATGCACCTCTAAAGACCCCTCTGTGAAGCTCCTGAAGTTTGCAGATGACACTACAGTCATCTGCCTCATCCAGGATGATGAGGAGTCTGCTTACAGACAAGAAGTTGAGCATCTGGCTGTCTGGTGCTGTCACAACAACCTGGAGCTCAACACATTTAAAACAGTGGAGATGACAGTGGACTTCAGGAGAAACCCTCCTACTCTCCCCCCACTCACCATCATGAACAGCACTGTGGCTGAAGTGGGAGTCATTTAGGTTCCTGGGCACCACCATCTCTCAGGACCTGAAGTGGGACACTCACATAGACTCTATTGTAAAAAAGGCCCAGCAGAGGCTGTACTTCCTTCGCCAGCTGAGGAAGTTCAACCTGCCACAGGAGCAGCTCACCCAGTTCTACTCGGCCATCATTGATTCTGTCCTGTGCTCATCTATAACAGTTTGGTTTGGCTCCGCTACCAAATCACACATCAGGAGACTAAGGACAGTCAGGACTGCTGAGAGGATTATTGGTGCTCCCTGCCTAACCTCCAATAACTGTACATCTCCAGAGTGAGGAAAAGGGCTGGTAAATCATTCTGGACCCCACACACCCAGCACACTCCCTCTTTGAACTGTAGCCCTCGCAGCGCTACAGAGCACTGAACTTTCTTCCGGTACTTTCTGTAATGGAAGCTTCTGACACCAAGACGAATTCCTTGTGTGTGCAAACACACTTGGCAATAAAGCTCTTTCTGATTCTGAAGAAAAAATTCAAGCAGTTTGTTTTTTAAAAAATCTCTTGAATTGTTTATTTTGGTTTGAAATATGCATACTATTGATAATGCAAAAAAAAACTTTCCCTGGTTGAAACAGGCTAACATTTTTCTCTATGCATGATTTCTGTAATGTATTCGATAATAACACACACACTAGGAAGACCACCGAACCTTGAGCAACTACATTTGCTGCTGCAGAAGCTCATATGATTAATCATCACACACAGCTTGCTGCTTTAAAGATCACATGGGGTAAAACTGGGATGCCGCCTCAGACGACTGGATCTCCACCTGGGCCATTTTAAACTGAGTGCACTGAAGCCACTTGCGCAGAGTGAGAGGAAACGATCCGGATCCAGGATTCTGGAGACACTGGTGGTTCACCCGGTTCTGAATGGCTTGAAGACGCAGCTGGAGACCCGCGGACAGATGCTATTGACACACAAAGGGCGTTTATCATCTAACAGGAATATTTTGAGAGTTTACTCTAGAAAGAAGCAAAAATCAGAGTGTTGATAGCAAGAGTGAATTGTGTAATGGATATGTTGAAAACTTACATTTAAGTTCGACTGAATCATGGGCAGCCACATGGGAATCAGCTGAAGAGAATGAAGAGGACATTAAATATAATAAACACCTCAGACTGCATGATGTAGAAATGCTAAGCACTGCAGTTTATTTTAAGCATTTGTAGTAAGAAATCCCTCTTACTTTTACAAAGATGGTTGAGTTACACTCCTGCAAGGCCTCCATTAGACTGATGACATGCAAGCAGACCATCTCTACCATCTGAAACGTGAAGAAAAAGAGCAGATCTGCTGTCACCACTGTGTCTGTGAACAAGCTACTTTCAGAGGTTGTTCTAGCTTTGCACAGAGCTTTCCCATCGGTTAAAATTGATAAAGATTGATCATCTTTGCTCATTCATATGGAGTAATTTCTCAGTCTAGAACAGGAGTCAGTTTTGTATCTGAAATCAGTTTATATCAGATGTCAAATCAAACGTAAGCGGTTTAGAGCTAAAACACAAGCCTTAAGAAATACTCTGACATGTTCAAATGTCAAAAAACAACTTCCACTGTAGAAATGCTGCAAAGTGATGCACTGAGAGAGAAGCCGGATCACACCGAGTCTGAATAAATGGCAGGTTTACCACTTTGTTGTGGGCCATGAGCTGGAGGATGCTGGGAGTCACGCGGCTCCAGAATTCCAGGCCCGTGAGGATGGCGCACGAGGAGAACTCGTTCTGGTTCTGATTGGTCGGGTTGGCCGCGGCCTGCTCGCAGTAGATGGTCCACAGCTGGGCGAACATGAAGGCGTGGAACAGCGAACACATGTGCAGCACTGACGTCTGCAGACACACACAGAGAGAGGAGCAACATCAGAGTCACGTCTCTGGATCTCCTCCAAGCAGAACCGCTCCATTATCATACCTTGGACTGCTCTGGGAATCCTATCAAGATGACAATCAGATGGTCTGCGATATGAGATCCAGCATCCAGTGGAATGGGCATACAGCACGAGGAGCCCTGATGCAAAGCACTGTGGGTAAGAGACCCCAGCAGCAGCCAAGACAGCTGGCGAATGTGCGACACGCACTCGATGAACTCTTTGGGTCTGAGGAAACACAAGCACAATGTAAATGCTCAAGCTGATGCTGGGCGCTGACGACACACACACACACACACGTGATGACGGTGGATTTTACCCTTGTTGCATAGCAGAAGGCGGATGGTAAAGCCAAGGCAGGTAGCGAATAACCGCTTTGTTGTCTCTGTGGTTGCCTTTGCTGATCTCCATCGCCGCTATCTGAGCCAGACCGACCTTCAGATTCCCGCCGAACGTGTCCTCGTGCAGCGGCTGACAGCACGCCTTCATGTGGCTCTACACGCACACACATGACACACATCACAAGCTTTCAGCATTTTACATTCATGCATGCAGGCACACACTTTTATCCCAAGAGACTTAAGGCTTCTCAGCAGCCGATTTTCAGCTGATTTCCAGTCAAAAGCCTCATTTACATAATCGCTGGAGATGCGGAGGGGTCATTACAGTCGAAAACGTAACATTCTGTCTGTGCGACTTGTGATCAGTGATCTTCTGAAGAACTGACCCGATCCAAACATTTCAAGTCCTCAAAGGCAATGCTACAGGACTGTGTGTAACCAGCTGGCAGAACAGTCTGCTTCTCACTGAAGCTTGTTTATTTTCTACAGCAGACACACATCACACACATTCACAGTGAATTACATCCCGATTCAGTTCATGAAGACTGGGAAGGTTTGCTCCTGTTCTTATTTCACAAGCTTCACGTGAGAAAGCTCAGAAGCAGTTGTTTAATCTGTGACGACCACCGATTGTTTTATCTGTGTGCATGATGGACCTCCGACTGAAGAAACAGTCAGCTGGCGAGACTACCTCGACCACAATCCAGCTGTTTAAATCGGCTGGTGGAACGCCACCTTTACACTGCATTTAAGGAATAGATCTGATTAAGTTCACGTGTTCCCTGAGAATCAAATCCATGGTTTTATTGATGCTAGCGCCACGCTCTACCGTTGGAGGAACTTCCAGCAGATGAGACAGAAGTTTCCATGATGGTACATGACAGCCAGTGTACAAAGACACATGACACATGAGTTCCCACTGCAGGCCTCATGGTTAGATGAGTGTGACGAGTACCTTTAGTTTGGTCAGCGTGTGCATGTCTGCGATGAAGTCCAGCAGCTCGCTCAGATACTGCCGCAAGCACTCCATCGCTGCTGTGGTGCACTGAGGGGACAGAACAGCTGTGACGTCTACAGTCAGCACTAACGAGCAGACACATCAGTACTGCAGCAGACGAGTCTCACCCCGGGCAGAGCGGAGATCATGCGCTTCTGGAGGATGGTGGACTCGGCCAGCCTGGTCCCGATGTCTGTGCACACAAACTGAGACGACAGACGAGACGATATCACTCTCTCAGACGGATCCTGAGCGGTCTCATTCATCATCCCTCAACTACACACCAGTCTTTTGATTGTTTTTACATTAAATGTGACCAGTCACAGAAGCTGTCTGACATATTAGTAGTACTAGCAATAGAAAACTAGTTATGCATCCACGTGTGTTTGCTCCAACTTCCCTTATTGTGCGACGCAGATTCACAGATGCATTACCTGCACCAGCAGCAGCAGGTTCGTATCAGGAATGGATGACTTGAACTTCAGAGCCTGAAGCAACTCCAGAACAACCACACGAGACATGTAGAACTTGTCCCTCTCCTGCATGGAAGAGGAGGAAAGCAGATTATAGAAAGTCATTTTCAAAAATGTGCAGTTTGCTAAAAGATCTCGCCACACTTCTGAATGCTGACATCTCTCGTTTGCCAGCTGACCACTGCTTCTCTCTGATATCTAGATAATCTATCAACAGCAAAACTCCATAAAGCATCATCTTGTATTTACATATTTCTGATGACACACAGCAGTTTCCTCGCAAGAACAAACGTGTTGCACAACAAAGTGTAATCTAATTCATGAACAGATTATTCTTATGAGCTTCTTTTAATAAATCGTTCAAAAGACGTCTGAATGGTCTGAATAAAAGCCTATTTAATGTAGTAATATTACATGGAAAATTAAGAAGAAGAAAAACCTTAAAGGGAACAATGCAGTTTTTTTCAAGTTTTGAAACCTCTGCTCTACAAAACACATTATTACTTATTAAACACATTAAAACAAAGTTTTGTCGTCGTCTTCTTCTTTTTTTTTTTTTTACCAAACAAAGCATTGCTTCACAACATGCAGACATTATTTCTTAAGGAAAAAGGATAAAAAACAGGAAAGATTATTATGTTTTTATTTATTCTGAAAAAAGTTTGTATACTCTTTCCTCCTGATGATGATTATGAAATGATCATCATCAAATGATATTTAGTGAATATTCATTTAGCACTGGAGAAAAACTGCATTAATAAATGTCATTTTTTTTAAACAAGAGACTGTAAAATCTTGGCAGCAACATGCAGAGGGCAGAAACCCATGCTAGGTGTTCAGATTCTCTCTGCTGGAATACACACTGATGCACAGAGCTGTTCACCTTGCTGAAGGTTTTGTAGCATAAACCGCAGAGCTCTACGAGATACGAGAGACTGAACACACCGTACTGGAGAACGAAACTCAGGAGTTTGGAGAAGGGCTCCAGCAGACTCTGTCAGAAAGACACCAGACAAGCAGTGAACTTCATCAGCCCCAGCAGAACATTTAAAACAGCACACTTCTGATATTCTCATTATCCCATTATTCATATCATGATATTTTCATATCATCTGAAGGGAAATTAAATGACCAGCAGAGCCGAAGAAATGAATGAACTTACTCTTGTTGCATTTGTTACAGGAATCTTCAGCAAGCAAATGATAATTCTCAGACTCGAGTCCAGCGGACACTTGAGAAAAGAGAAGAAACAGGAGGAACTCTTAAGAGGAGAATACTGCGAGCGTTTATTCTCTGACTCCTCTGGCGTTACAGAGCACAGAAAGGCTAAACTGGTACCTTGAGTGGCAGAACAGCAGGTAGTTTGGTTAGAAATGTGTGGAACTGGTTCGAGATGGTTGTCCACAGGTTGCTGGGTGAGTCCATGGGAAGCGTCTCCATGAAGGGGGCGATGTTGTCCAGACAGTGCAGAATAGTGCCTCCTGCTGGCAGAGTCTTCTTATTGTTCAGACCCTGCCACCACACCATACATTTAGGGCAGCACAAAAGGTCAAATACTTTAAATAAAGCTTTCCACACTTCACTGTCACAAGAGAGTCCTCTGCTGGAAGACACACGTCAGAGCATCGTGACCTGCTTGTTTCAGAGACAGGTGTGTCAGTAGTGCGGCTGATGAACAGACGTACCTCCAGGAGCTGACTGAGCGCTGCCACCGAGCTCAGCTCATTGAAATCAATCAGAGACAGGGCCAGCGTCCTCAGGAAGCTTCCATCTGAAAGAGAACAGAGCCGGTGAAGTGTTTGTGCTGTGTGTATGTGTGCGACTGTGCTCTGAGGTGCTTCTCCAGACCTTTAATGTTGCTCTGGAACAGTTGTGGTAGGATGCCGTTGGGTGCGAGCTGATGGAGAACGCAGCGGAGGAACTGCTTGGCTACACCAGCCACATTCCCAGGAATCAGCACGCTGCACACACGTCACAATAACGCTCAGACTTACACAACTCAAAGTGTGCATTACACAAGCGTAAACGCAGAACTCACCTTTCAGCTTGACCTGTGAAATTGGAGCTAGAGGCCAACCTGCAGAATAAAAGCAAAGAAGTGAAAGAAAGCCATAGTGATTATACTGCTGTAGTGTGCTGAAGAGAGCTGTACCTGCCCACAGACTGCATGATCTCCAGCAGCAGCGGAGCGGCCAGATCAGGACTCAGATGGATGAACATGGACAGAACCACCACAGCCAGAGCCAGAGTCTCCTCATCATACTCCTCCAGCACAGCCCCGCAGTCACGGCACCTGATCAGTTCACACAGAGCTGTGATCTTCTGCACTTCTTCACGCTGAAACACTGAGGGTCAGACCCACCTGTCGGCCATCGTAGTGGGCTGCTCGTCGCTGAAGTCTTCTGGCGCGGGAACGAACATGCTGACGGTGCTGGGGGCCGACAGCAGACTGGTCTTCACTGGACCTGCAGAGAAAAACACAAAGCATCGTGAGGCACAAACTCAAGTACTGCACGATACAATGGGGAAAAATGTGCTTTTCACTACTCCCACAGTGTATGATTGCTGAAAAAACACATATGTTTTTATTAGACATTGATGGAACAACAGATTTTGTGAGAAAATAAATGATAAAAGTGATTTGTTTTGTTTAAAAATCTTACAAATGTATGAGGTGGAGAGATGGGCCACACATGGGGTAAAAGGCACATTATTTATACAAACACTTCAGCTAATAATATGTTCTGAATAATATCTAAGTTAATACTTGTTCAAAACAATCAATTTATCAAAGTACTGTTTTTTGTTTGTTTTAATAAACATTTACTTTTGTTCAATAAAAAGTGATTAAAATGTTCATTTTAAAAATACAGAAACTAAATTATTTTAAAAAGTAAAGATTCTGAAAGCACTGAAGGACACTGTAACAAAACACTGTATTGTTACAGTAGCAACAATACATACGGTATTTTATTATATGATATGATATGGTTAATATCATATTTTTAAATGTGATGGTTTCATTATAAATATGGTGAATATCACTAAAGTGGACACCCAACTCAATATATGATATTTATCATCTGAATATAACCATGTTATGTTAACAAATGGGAAAGTCAGTCAGCTAGTTATTATCATATTAATTATTGTGCCTTTAGCCCTAACAGCAGGGACATTTTTTACCCCAGATACCATACTTTTACATATTCTTCTGTTATTGAAAAACTGCTGATTGAACAAAACCGAAAAACAATAACCTTTGCCTTGAAATATATTCAATAATTTTATCAATTCTCATTTGCTACACATTAAATGTTAGATCAAATTAACACAGAATCAACTTTGCATTGCTGTCCATGATTGTGTCAAGGATCACCAAATTTCCACCCGCAAACGCTGTTGTGTTAGGAAAAGTGCTGAGGTGGATTTTGGTGCCATCTAGTGTTTTAAAGGAGAATAAAGTCAAATGTGGCTAGTCTGGGTAATGAATCATCAACACGAGAGGAAAGTGCTAAGAGCTCATGAATGCTGAAGACTGACCCGTGTCCCAGGTGTTGATGTTCTGTGGTGCGCTGGACTGATGCTCCAGCTGCCGCTTCATTAACTGACTCATCGTCACTGCACCCAGCGAGCCTCGCTTCACCTGACCATACTGAGCTGAGGACAGAGAAAACACCTCAGCAGCTGCTCATGAATGCTGATCAGATCTCAGTCTTCCAGCACACATCAAGCCTCATGAAACAGCAGACAGATGAATATGAGCATTAACGTGTAAGTGATTTACTGGACACTGAGGAGCGATGGCTGGTTTCAGGGACGGCGGCCTCCAGGGCCGGAGCTGAGGCCGATTCTCTGGGCTTCTCCAGGCTCGACAGAGATTTGGCCTCTGTACAACAACACAGGTGAGAGACAGTCTGAGTTTCAAATCAGTCTCTGAACTCAGTGTGGAACCACTTCTTGACATCTGCATAACATTGTAACATTTGTTAAAGTTAATGAAATCCTCCTGCATCATTGTTTGGACAATAATTGGTAGATTGAATGCGCTTTAAAGGGATAGGTCACCCAAAAATGAAAATTCTGTCATTAATTACTCTCCCTCGTGTCGTTTCACACCTGTATGTCCTTTGTTCATCTTCTGAACACAAATTAAGTTATTTTTGATCAAATCCGAGAGCATTTTCTCCCCCTATGGGGAGCTACGCAACTACCACATTCAAGACCCAGAACGGTAGCAAAGACATCATTAAATACTCCACGTGACTCCAGTGGTTTAACCTCAATTTTATGAAGCGATGCAAGTGGTTTGTTTGATAAAAAAAAACTAACCCCCGGTTTCACAGACAAGACCTAATAAACTCTTTTGGAGTCTTTTGGCCCACTCATTGTTTTAATCATACGCTAGATTTAATTATATCGCATGGAATTGATCTTACTGATATAGATATCGTACCTCAAAGTGATGATGTTACTGACCATTTCCTTGTATCGTGCATGCTGCGTATTACTGATATTAACTACATGGCTCCGCGTTATACTTTATTTATGAAAATATTAAGCAGTGAAAGTGCTTCTGTGAACGTGCTGGATATTTTTGGGGGAAAATATTTTTTTCATGGAAGAACTTTCACTGTTGAGTCAACATAACACGCATGCGTCGTGGTGCGCCTCCTACTGGGTTGCAGGTCAATATTTCGTAAATAAAGTGGTAAATTTAGTTTTTTTGTGCAAACAAACCACTTGCGTTGCTGAGGTTAAACCACTGGAGTCACGTGGAGTATTTAATGATGTTCTCGCTAGCATTCTGGATCTTGAATGTGGTAGTTGCATTGCTCCCTATGGGGGGAGAAAATGCTCTCGGATTTAATCAAAAATTCTTTCATTTTGTCTATAGTGTTGAACGAGATGTCCAGATACTCCCTCTGGATGGCGCTGACGGCGATCTTCCTCTCTTTGCGCTGGCGTGGCACGATCTGAATCTTGAATTCAGCTTCATCGCTCTCGTCGTCAGGTTTGGGGTCGCTGTCTCTCTCATCCGTCTCGTCGTTGTCCTCGTCTCCCGCTCCTTCCCCGTTTAACGGATCCAGCGACTCGAGCTCGTCCGCAGGAATCTGGAGCACGACGGACCTGCTGGAGGGGCTCGTTCCGGCGCTATCCTCGGGCTGCGTGCAGGAATCATCCAGGGATGCATTGGGCATGTGCAAGGTCTTTCTGAAGAGATCCCGTTTCTGTTTCAGGGTCATGGTGGCCTCCTGAGGAGCCGCAGAGTCTGGGAGCTCCAGAGACGCCGGCGAAGAGATCGCAGGAGGCTCAAGCTTCTTGTTCTTAGTGCAGTCCTCTATGCTGACCTGCACGACCGGAGGAGAGTGTGCTGCGGTGCTGATGGTGGCCGCTGACGGATCCTCAGGTTTGCTCAGCACTCCACCAGGGAGTTTGAGTGCCTCAAACAGGTCCTCGTTGCTCTCGACAATGCGCAGAGGAGGCAGCGGCTCGAAAACCAGCGAGTCACTGTCGGAGAGCGAGAGAATGGAGTGCTTCTCGGGGATGGAGGTGCAGTCGGAGGACAGGTCTATGAGATCTGGATCGTCCTTGTCAAGTGCAGGGGCGGCCAGCGGTGAGTCCAGACCGACGGGTTTATCTTCAAACGTCTCCATACAGCTGAGACGCACCTCGGGTATGATGGGCCGGATGCTGTCGTTCTGAGCGCCGGAGCCTCTTCGGTCGGTGACGGAGTGGCCGTTGGAGGAGTGTTTCCCGTGGTGCTGAGCTCTGTGCTGCTGTCGGCCGAATCTCTGTATGGATACTGAAACACAGCACGACACAGTGAAGAAGATGCCAAGATTCCTGAATTTCTGATTACTAAGACTACAGTTACTTACAATGAGACTGTCTGTGGAACAAAAATAAAACCACAACTTTTTTACTGAAGTGCAACACTAAGCCAGTGTTAATGCTTTTAGATGAATAAGATTAATTTTCTTTGTGTTGTTTTTTTCACAGGAGAAATCACTGTTTGCATTCAAGCGGAAGAGAAACCAATGGACAGTTGTTTGATGGCATTGGGTATATCGTTTCCAGGAACTTTCTAGACCTTGAGGAAATCGATCCTGGTTGTGACCAGAACAAATATGCATTAAAATTAGTTGACTTGATGTCCTGTTGTTCTTTTGTGTGTCTGTAGGAGCGGCTCTGAACAGAGAGCAACCATAATCCCCTTATTCAAGTATCTGTATTTCATCACAGTAAAAACTATTTTAGTAATAAATAAATAAATAAATTATGTGATTAAAACTGAATGATAGATTTAACTCTCTTCAATTAACTATTACATTTAACTCTATTGTTTGTTTTATTTAAGTTTAAAGGGGTCATGAACTGAGAAATCAAAATTCCCTTGATCTTTTGACATATAAGAGGTCATTGTACTATAAAAAACATCCTGTAAGTTTCAGAACTCAAAACTTTCTCGTTAGTCTAAAAACAGCTTATATTGAAGACAGTCTGCCAAAACGACTGGTTGTGGAATGAGCCACTTTATGACGTAATAGTGTGGCTAAGCCCCGCCTCCACAGAAGAAGATCAACGCCTGCTTCTGCATCACTGCCTGTTTAGCCCCGCCCACCGATTCACGCACGTAGTAGGTTAATGACGAGAGCAGCAAACGCAGGTCTACGCAGAAACCAAACTTTTGATGAACTTTATTTTTGATGAAGTTCCAGACCGCGTCAACTTGGTCCTTTGCTTACTTAATTTTACCGCGGGTTCGTTTGAAACTAAAAGAATGCTGTGCCGACTATATCGGATCTGACAGTAATGTCACAACACACAAGTGTGAGTAACTGTTTTTATTGCGTGATCACTTTCGCTTTGTTACAAATCGTTTGGCTGTCAAACATACACAACTGCTAGCCAATCATAGCAGTGGGCATTTACCTCTGAGTTTACAATCCGCCATGCCTATTCAAACAGAGCGTTCTGATGAGGGTGGTCAAAACAGGACAGACTTATAAATTATGATGTTTTTTGATGAAAAACAGTGTTTGCATCGCCTTCCTTCTGATCCCAACATTAGGAAAGAGTGGATGAAGTTTATTTTTAATGAAGATCCAGACCGCGTCAGTAAGAACATGGTCCTTTGTTCACTTCATTTCACCACAGATTCGTTTACAAACAAAACGAAATTCAAGCAGGATTTTCTGAAAGAAGTGTGAGTAACTGTTTTTATTATGTGCTCACTATTGCTTTGTCTGTTATTAGATAGTTTGATATGAACTGAGTATTTATGCGTTTTTAACCTAAAACACAGCAGCATCCATCTGTGAAGGATGTAGGCTATCAAACACAACTGTCAGCCAATCACAGCAGTGGGCGTTTACTTCAGTCTACAATCCACCACGCCTATTCAAACAGAGTGTTCTGATGAGCGGGTCAAAACAGCACAGAAAATAGCCTATTACTTCTGAATTATGATGCTTTTTGATGTAAAAATCTTGATAACATAAGTGGACCTCAGAGAACAGTACAAAATAATTAAAAAAGGCAGTTCATGACCCCTTTAATCTGTAGTCAGTGGCATAACTAGGATTGTACAGGTCCCAGTGCAAAAACACTTGATGGGCTCCTGCCATGAAAACATAACACTGTGATTTTGTGTTCATAGCTTTGACCTGGTCGTGGTCTCAAGACATCTTATGATGTTTTATTAACAAAGTTCAGGAGCAACATGTTTAGATAATCAATTTAATCAGAATGATAGTAAATATATATACAGTGAACGTACCTCTGAACCATGACAGTTTTTCTGGAATCCCTCCTCCACCCCAGCTCCGCACTCCTAACTATTCTTATCCTAGCTTGGGAATATGGGGAATTCTCTGGTTTCAGGCTCTACTCTGAGCTCGGAGGCTTCCCCTCAGACAGCACACCAAATATGCTTACTATTTGCTCAATCTGATTATATGTAAGTTCGAACTCGTGAATTCACTATCTACAACAAGCTCAGTGTCTTTGTTTTGTCTCTTTAAGTCAAACAATCCCTAAATGAATTTCACAACAGTGGTCATTCTGTTTATTTATTCTGAAAATTCCCATTCGGTTTACAAAGCTATATGTGGGATTTTGATAGGTTGGGTTTCTGTTGTTTTCCTTTTTCTGTTTTTGTTCACTGTTGTAACAGGAAAGTGGAATTTGCAGATACTTCTAGTGCACTTGCACATTTCACATTACCAGTAAATACAGTCAAACAAGATGGTGCCGTCGGAGTATCGTGGATGTCCGACTCATCAAATACACTGTCCTCCTCTACACAGGAAAACACAGGGCATTAAGCGACAGCACATCACTAACCGTTCCCGTGATGCCGAGCGCGATCTGTACCTTTCTCCTTCTCGCTGTAGCGGCTGGTGTTGGAGTTTTCCTTTTTCTGTTTTTGTTCACTGTTGTAACAGGAAAGTGGAATTTGCAGATACTTCTAGTGCACTTGCACATTTCACATTACCAGTAAATACAGTCAAACAAGATGGTGCCGCAGACGGCTGCCTCAGTGCTTGGCTCTCCAGTGTTTGTACTGTTTTTGTTAGTTCTTCCTGTTTTTTGTTTCTCAAACACGATCAGTTTTACCAGGGATGAACTGCTGAACATTCGGCAGAACACACCACAAAATCTTTGGCCAGTTTTCGATTATTCGGACGTTTTGCTGAACATTGTAGTTGGCAGAGCAGCAGCACTGATCAAACGCTTTAGGACGCGCAGACGGGGAAAGAGAGCCAGCGTGCTCGTGAAGCTCAGGCAGCGCGGATTTCGAATGCCGTTGCCTAGCATCCATCTGGCGAAGTCTACCCAACAAAATGGACGAACCTTCTTCTGCTCTCCCGGGCAAACAAGTTTTTTTCAAACTCTGCTGTTCTGTGTTTCACGGAAACCTGGCTGAATGACGCTATTCCG